GGTGCCTGTAATCCCAGCTACTCGGGAGGCTGAGGCAGGAGAATCGCTTGAACCCAGGAGGCGGAGGTTGCAATGAGCCGAGATCGTGCCACTGCACTCCAGCCTGGGCAACAAGAACAAAACTCCATCTCAAAAAAAAGAAAAAAGACACCAAACATGTGAGGTGGGCAGGAAACATGGATGGAAAAACCCCACTGTGCTTTTCTGTACCTGGGGAGGTGGGACGGCTGAGGGGTCCCTGGAGGAAGAGATGTCCAAAGTACGACTCCTGACATGTAACGGGGCTAGAGCTGCCCCCCGAGAAAAGGCCACCCAAGCCCATCAGAATGAGCCTGCATGGAGACAGCCTCCCTCACCTCTGCAGAATAGCTCCCCTGGGGGTGCTAGCTTTTGAGTTTTTGAAGCCAAGTACCTAGAAGGACTTAGCTGAGGTCACAAAAGAAATTGAGTTCACTGCCATAAGGCCCCCAGCACTCGCTTATGATGACAGAGGAGCTGCGCTAAACATGCTGCACCGGACGGGATGAGAAGCCTGAGGCTCAGAGAAGGTAGGTGACTTGCCCCGGGTCACACAGGAAACATGACAGCCAGAATGTAAACTCAGGCGTGTCTGTTTCCGGAGGCAGCATTTTGGAAGAGTCTTTGTCCAACAGAAAGGGAGTGTGTGTTTCACAAATATTTGACATATGCTATGGACATAGTACCACATCAAGCACCACAGGCGAATAGAACAAACGCTGCCTTCAAGGTTTCCATACGTTCAAGCAAACAGAGAAACCAGTCCCATTAGAGTATGAGAAAGAAGACAGGAAGGGGTGGGATGGGGAGGAGCATGGGGACACCCGGGAAGGTGGCAGGACAGGGGAAGAGGCTGGGCCTGGAGCAGTCGCCTGGGCTGGGGCATGTCTTAGCCTCTCCCAGTAGTTCCCTCAACTGCAAATGAAACATTTGTTTCACAAGGTGTCACAAAGACACTTGGCTCAATCTTAGATGCGCAATCAAGGTAAACTTTCCTTTCCAAGGGGAAGGAGAGGAGCAGGGAAGAGGTTTCCTGAGACCTGTGGTGGATTAGAGATGCCCAGAGCGTCCCCAAAGGGGATGTCCTGGCCCTTTCGTGGTCAGTCCTTCATGGTAGGAACAGGCCGTTACTCTGCAGGGCCTTAGGCATCCCTGGCCCCCAGATCAGTCTGCCCTCTTGGACAGTGTTCTATCCTTGAACACCAAGCACATATTTATGGAGCACCTACTGTGTCCTGGACAGAGTTCTGGGAATTAGAGATGCAGAGGACAAAAGACAAGGTCCCTGCCCTCCTGAAGCTCTCATGGCAGTGGGAGAGAAGGGCAATAAACAAGGACTCAGATGGGGTGATAGGAGAGCGAGCAGGTGCCTGGGGGATGCGAGTAAGGCTACTGTAGACGGCGGGGGGGGAGGTGGGGTTGGAGCTGAGGGTTAGAAGCTGTTAGCTGCGTAGGACTTGGAGGCAAGAGTCCAGGCTGAGAACATGTTATATGTGAAACTCTGAGGCAGGAGAAAACTCTGAGGCAGGAGAGAGAAGGGGCCAGGGGCCTGAGAACGAGGGAGCCTGTGGGATGGGAAAGGTTCTCCAAGAGGAAAGTGGGCACATCACCGGGGCTGGGAGGCCAGAGGAAGACGGGCACGTTTCTTCCCAAGGGTTTTAGGAAGCCATCAACAGGTACCAGGCAAGAGTAGCAGGACCCAGTTCCTCGTAAAAAGACCACCTGTCCCTGTTGTAGGGAGAATGACTCAGAGAGGATGGGGTGTGGGGAATTATAGGCACTGCCTAGGGGCTCCTGTGCTCATCCGTGCAACAAGTGATGGTGGCTTGGATTGCGGGGGAGTGGCCAAGGAGATGAAGACCACTGAATAGTTTTTGGAAATGTTTTGCAGATGGGGTGACGACCTGCTTATGGATTAGAAGTGTTGGGAGTGGGAGAAAAGAACCCAGGACAACTCCTAGGTTTGGGGCTAAGCAACTGGTGAAGATGGTTGCACTTACCATGGCAGACACCCCTGTGGGACAGATCCGAGGCAGGCAGATGACAAGGTCAGGAGTTCGAGACTAGCCTGGCCAACATGGTGAAACCCCGTCTCTACTAAAAATACACAAATTAGCTGGGCGTGGTGGTGTGCACTTGTAATCCCCACTACTGGGGAGGCTGAGGCAGGAGAATGGCTTGAATCCAGGAGGCAGAGGTTGCAGTAAGCGGAGATCATGTCACTGCACTCCAGTCTGGGTGACAGAGCGAGACTCCATCTAAAAAAAAAAAAAAAAAGAAAAAGAAAAAAGAAATAGCTGGGCATTGTGGTGCACACATGCAATCCCAGCTACTACGGAGGCTGAGGCAGGAGAATCGCTTGAACCTAGGAGGCAGAAGCTGCAATGAGCTGAGATCATGGCACAGCACTCTGCACTCCAGTCTGAGCAACAGAGCAAGCTTCTGTCTCAAACAAACAAACAAACAAACAAACAAACAAACGTTTGAGCCACTTCCCGCGGCCAACTTCTATTCTTTTTTTTTTTTTTTTTCAGAGTCTTTTCTGTCGCCCAGGCTGGAATGCAGTGGCACAATCTTGGCTCACTGCAACCTCTGCCTCCTGGGTTCAAGTCATTCTCCTGTCTCAGCCTCCCGAGTAGCTGGGATTACAGGCGCGCACCACCACACCTGGTTAATTTTTGTATTTTTAGTAGAGACGGGGTTTCACCACGTTGGCCAGGGTGGTCTCGAACTCCTGACCTCAGGTGATCTGCCCGCCTCAGCCTCCCAAAGTCCTGGGATTACAGGCATGACCCACCGCGCCTGGTCCTTCCATTCATTCTTTAGATCACAACTGAGTTAGGGAGGAGAAGATCCCTCCCCACCCACAGGCCTCTGTGCGTACTGCATTACAGCCCTGGCCACCCTGGACATAAGCTGCCTGCTTGCTCATCTGTCTCCCTGACTAGTTACCTGGACCATGGTAACAGCCTCTTCACTGGCTCTCTGCCTTCCATTTCTTGTGAACCCAGCAGCCAGAATGATCTCTGAGCTGACCATGTTGCTTCCTGTGTAAAACCCTCTGTGGCTCCCTATTAACCCCGAGAACAGAGGCCAAACTCCTTACAACATTCACAAGGACTTCACCTACCAGTCTCTGCCTGATTTTTCATCCCTATCTCTCACCACCCTCCACCACGTGGAATCCTTTCAGTTCTCCAAACTGGCTGTTGTTTTCCGCATAGAATACTCTACTCCTCATTTTTTGCCTGGCCTAACTCCCTCAGTGCCCAGCTTAGACAAAAACCTTCCCTGCACCACTGCCCTACACTTCTCTGCCCACTCAGCATTGGTCCTTACCCCTTTGTCCGCCTCCCCCATAGACCGTCAGCTCTGAGAGGGCAGGGGCCAACTGCATCCCCTCCTCTGCTGTCATTCCTGGCATCCAGCAAGAGGCCTGCTACCTAGAATGCTGAATGAAAGAATGGCCCTCGCGGTTTGAGAGTGGAAGCCTGGGCAGGTCTGTCTTGGGGCCACTGCATCCCCGTGCTCAGTCTAGGGCGCAGCACCTCAAGTTTGCAACTGTTTCAGGAACAAGGCAGGCGGGTGGGCCGGCCCCAGAAACGCACATTATACCTCCGAGGAAGTGAAGGGAGGGATGACAAAGCAAAGCTTGAGGGCTCCGAGAAGCTCTCAAGAAAACAAATGCAGTCATGAGCCCACTCCTGTAACCCAAGGCTTTGGAAGACCGAGGCAAGTGTATTGCTTGAGGTCAGGAGTTCGAGACCAGCTTGGGCCACGCAGTGAAACCCCGTCTCTACTAAAAACACAAAAGTTGGCTGAGCGTGTTGGCGGACACCTGTAATCCCAGCTACTCTGAAGCTGAGATAGGAGAATCGCTTGAACCTGGGAGGAAGAGGTGGCAGCGAGCTGAGATCCTGACACTGCGCTCCAGCCTGGGCGACAGAGCCAGACCCTGTCCCCAATGTACATATCAGACTACAAAAAAAAAATAAGAAAGTGCTTAAAACATTTTTTTGGCTTTTTTTATTTTTTTGAGACAGAGTTTTGCTCTTGTCGCCCAGGTTGGAGTGCGGTGGCATGATCTTGGCTCACTTCAACCTCCACCTCCTGGGTTCAAGTGATTCTCCTGCCTCAGCCTCCCGAGTAGCTGGGATTACAGGCGCCCGCCATCACATCTGGCTAATATTTTGTATTTTTAGTAGAGACAGGGTTTCGCCATGTTGGGCAGGCTTGTCTCGAACTCCTGACATTAGGTGATCTGCCTGCTTCAGCCTCCCAAAGTGCTAGGATCACAGGCTTGAGCCACGGTGCCTGGCCAAAAAAAAATTTTTTTTTTTTGAGATAGAGTTTTGCTCTTGTTGCTCAGGCTGGAGTGCAATGGCACAATCTCGACTCACCGCAACCTCCACCTCCCGGGTTTAAGCGATTCTCCTGCCTCAGCCTCCCAAGTAGCTGGGATTACAGGCATGCACCACCATGCCTGGCTTATTTTGTGTTTTTAGTAGAGACAGGGTTTCTCCATGTGGGTCAGGCTGGTCTTGAACTCCTGACCTCAGGTGATCTGCCTGCCTTAACCTCCCAAAGTGCTGAGATTACAGGCGTGAGCCACCGCGCCCGGCCAAAAAAAAATTTTTTTTTTGAGACAGAGTTTTACTCTTGTTGCCCAGGCTGGAGTGCAATGGTGTGATCTCGGCTTACCGCAACCTCCGCCTCCTGGGTCCCCGGACAAGCAGTTCTCCTGCCTCAGCCTCCTAGTTAGCTGGGATTACAGGCATGCGCCACCACACCTAGATAATTTTTTTTTTTTTAATGTTTAGTAAAGGCTGTTACCATGGTCCAGGTAACTAGTCAGGGAGACAGATGAGCAAGCAGGCAGCTTGTTTCACCATCTTGGCCAGGCTGGTCTCGAACTCCTGACCTCGTGATCCGTCCACCTCGGCCTCCCAAAGTGCTAGGATTACAGGCCTGAGCCACTGCGCCCGGCCCGAAAAAAATTTTTTAAAAGAAAGAAAAGGGAAACAAAACAGTCACCTACACCTTCGGGCCACTCACAAGGATGATGGCACCGTCCTCCTCTCCGCCCCTCACCAACATGGCCGCCCCCATGGGAGTGGGCGGGTCTGCGGGGCGGAAGTGACGCACGAGCGGAAGTCCGTCCTGCCGCTTGGCCGCGGGGCACCTGGCTCAGCGGCTTCTGCGGGCTACGAGGACCGGTATGTTGCGGGCTGGGTGGCTCCGGGGCGCTGCGGCGCTGGCGCTGCTGCTGGCGGCCCGAGTGGTGGCGGCGTTCGAGCCCATCACCGTGGGCCTCGCCATCGGGGCCGCGTCGGCCATCACCGGCTACCTGTCCTACAATGACATCTACTGCCGCTTCGCCGAGTGTTGCCGCGAGGAGCGGCCGCTCAACGCTTCGGGTACGGCGCGCGCGAGCGGTGGGTCGGCGCTGCGGTGGGCGCGGGGGCCTCTGCGACCTCAGGCCGGGCACTGGGGCGCGGAGGGACGGCCTCGTGGGCGCCTGGCACGGACCGGGCGCGCGGCATCTAGACGGCGGTGGTCCCAGCTGTGGTGGGTGGGGAGCGGATGGGGCGGCCCCAGAACCGTTCGCGGGAACGCGGTGCGAACTCCAGCCCTGGAAGCGGTGCCTTCGCAGACAGTCTCCAGGTCGTGGGGCTCTGCCCCAGCGCCTTTCTAAAGCTCCTGTTCCTGAGGATCGTAGGCAGAAGAAACGGAAAGTACGGCGGGCGGCCCTTCTGCACCCTGCCAACCCTATTAAGTAGCTTTCAGACGTGCTGCGTCGCTCAGAAAGCCCACATTTGTCCCCGGTTTTCCTGCGGGCCAGCAGGGGTGGCTGGGAATAGCAAGCGCTCAGTCAAGCGATGGTTCATCTCCGAATGGATGAACATTTAGCTTCCCTATCAGACCCCAAAGCGTTAAGAACCTCCACATAATCCGTTTACCTGAAAATGGCATCATTTGACTACCTCGGCCCTAGGGTTTGGCAGACACCGTGCTGGGTCCTTCTTGCTTTGGGCAGCTGGGAAAGTACTGCGTTGCTGATGCATTTTTAACGTCTGTTTCTCTTTCTGTTCTGGGGCTGTTCTTGCAGCTCTCAAGCTGGATTTGGAGGAGAAGCTGTTTGGACAGCATCTGGCCACGGAAGTGATTCTCAAAGCGCTGACTGGCTTCAGAAACAACAAAAATCCCAAGAAACCTTTGACCCTTTCCTTACACGGCTGGGCTGGCACAGGCAAGAATTTTGTCAGTCAAATTGTGGCTGAAAATCTTCACCCAAAAGGCCTGAAGAGTAACTTTGTCCACCTGTTTGTATCGACTCTGCACTTCCCTCATGAACAGAAGATAAAACTGTACCAGGCAAGAGAACCCGCTATTATCTCGTCCGCAGGCCAGTCGGACTGGTCTGGGTGACCTGCTCACTAACTCTGGCCTCTGCTTCTCTTTCCTTTGTGTTGCAGTAGCCCCCGGCTCCACTGAGTTAAGGCACACTTAGTCCAGGTAGTTACAAAGCTCTCCTACAACATTTCTCTTACTTGGTTCCAAAACAGTCCAGTGGGGTAGGGCATGTTATTCCCATTAAAAGATGGCGCCAAGGGCTGGGCGCGGTGGCTCACGCCTGTAATCCTAGCACTTTGGGAGGTCGAGGCGGGCGGATCACTTTAAGCCAGGAGTTTGAGACCAGCCCGGCCAACATGGTGAAACCCCGTCTCTACCAGAAAGTACAAAAATTAGCCGGGCACGGTGGCGTGCGCCTGTAATCCCAGCTACTTGGGTGGCTGTGGCAGGAGAATCACTTGAACCTGGGAGGCGGAGGTTGCAGTGAGCCCAGATCCTACCACTGTACTCGATCTCAAAAAAAAAAATAAAAAGAGGATGTAGTCAAGGCCAGGTGCAGTGGCTCAGGCCTGTAATCCCAGCACTTTGGGAGGCTGAGGCAGGTGGATCACTTGAGGTCGCGAGTTCAAGACCAGCCTGACTAACATGGAAAAACCCCGTCTTTACTGAAAACACAAAATTAGCTGGGTGTGGTGGTGCACATCTGTAATCCCAGCTACTCGGGAGGCTGAGGCAGGAGAATCGTTTGAACCCAGGAGGCGGAGGTTGCAGTGAGCTGAGATTGTGCCACTGCATTCCAGCCTGGGCAACAGAGTGAGACTCTGTCTCAAAAAAGAGAGAGAGAGAAAAAAAAAGATGGAGCCTGGAGCCAAGAGAGGCAAGGCGACTTACTCCTTATAATCTTTGTGGCAGAGCAGGAACTTGAACCAAAACCTCCCAACTCCCAGTTGACATGGTAGCCACCTTCTCTGGTGAGTGAAGGGATCCGGCATCCGCAGCAGTGCAGTTGGTGAGAGGGGCAGTCAGTCTTCAAGGATTAGCTTGGGGGTGGCTTCCTTCGATGCTGCCCACCTCTGGTGCAGCCTCAGCTTTGCCTCTGCTCTTTGCAATGTAGCCTAGAGGTCTTTTTTCTCTTAAACAGGTTTTATTCCCTTTGTTCCTCCCATCCTTCATGTCCTTGGCATTGCTTTCTTCAAAGGAAGCCTCAAAGAACTGAACCTTGAGACCGTTTCTCCTTTTGAGATACTGTTTTCACATGTATTTTAAGTTGTCTAAGAGGGTTAGTTCTCATTTAAATGAATGCTGCCCTTGTCAAGGTTAACATTCCCCCTGGCAATATAGCAAGACCCCATCTCTACAAAAAATAAAAAATTAGCCAGGTGTAGTGGCATGCACCTGTAGTCCCAGCTACTTGGGAGGCGGACATGGAGGATCGCTTGAGCCCAGGAGGCTGAGGCTACAATGAACCATGGTTGTGTCACTGCATTCCAGTCTGGGTGACAGAGTAAGACTGTATCTCAAAAAAAAAAAAAAAAAAAAAATTCCTCCTGTTAGGTGGAGACTGAAGAAAGAAACAGAAACTTAACTGAACAAGGAAGTAGAAGTATTTGCCCTACAAACTGACATGAGACAGGGAAGACTGCCAAAAAGGAAGGAAGGATTTTCTTGTTTTCTACATTCTTTATAAATCTCTAGAAACAGAGGAATATAAATGGATAAGGGCATGTCTCGGGGAGCTTCATGGTACAGCCTTTCACACTTTGGGGTAGAGGGCTTGTTGCTTCAGTGTCTTTATGTTTGTTTCATGAAAGCATCTGGAACAGATGCTTTTCATGAAATGTCAGTGAGTCAGCTCTGTTGGTCTGGGGTACCGTGTACTATGCAGGTCTAATCTAGTTTCTTATTCCTCAGTATGTCTGGTGGTACTAACTTGAGATTGTAGTCCAAGAGAGATGAAAACTATGGCTAGGTTAGCAGTGAATGATATTCACGGATCTTGCCAGGTGGCTCATTCCTGTAATCTCAGCACTTTGGGAGGGTGAGGTGGGTGGATCACCTGAGGTCAGGAGTTTGAGACCAGCCTGCCCAACATGGCGAAACCCTGTCTCTACTAAAAATACAAAAATTAGCCAGGTGGCTGGGCGCGGTGGCTCAACCCTGTAATCCCAGCACTTTGGGAGGCCGAGATGGGTGGATCACGAGGTCAGGAGATCTGAGGGACCATCTCGCATAACAGACGGTGAAATACCGCGCTCTACTAAAAAAATACAGAAAAAGTGCCTGGGGCGAGGTGGCAGCGCCTGTAGTCCCCAGCACTTTGAGAGGTAGAGGCAGGTGAGAATGGGCGTAAACCAGGATGCGGAGCTTGCAGTGAGCATTGAGGATCCGGCCACTGCACTCCAGCACTGGGCGACAGAACGAGGACGCCGCTCTCAAAAAAAAAAAAAAATTAGCCAGGGTTGTGGTGTGGGATGGGGGCGCGCCTGTAGTCGCCAGCTACAGGGGGTTGAGGCAGGGGAATCTCTTGAACCCAAGAGGCGAGCTGAGATCATGCCACTACACACCCAGCCTAGGGGGATAGAGCGAGACCCTGTGTTCGAAAAAAAAAAAAAAATCACGGATCTTGTACCTCTTACACCTTTAAAAAGTCACATTTAGAGATACCATTTGAGTTAGGTTAAAAGCTTCTCTGCAGTTTAGCATCTGTCTCCGCCAAATTTCCACTTTTAGAAATGAAGGTATTTAGAAAAGCTATTACCAGCGAAGTGGGGTAAAGGTGCAGTGTCTAAGAGCTCTGACCTTGTCCTTGCAGTGCATGAGAGGCAGATGGTTCCTGCGCTCCTCTTGGTGCACCTTTTGAGCTTCGCATCCTATTTCTTCTTTCAACGGTGTCCAGGACCATTACAGAAGGGAATCCGCGGTAAATGTGAGTGCATGGTGCGAACTCTGTTTTCATATTTGCGCGAGATGGATAAATTGCACCCGCGGGACATTGACGCAATCAAGCCGCTTTCTAGTACTACTTACGAGCAGGGTGACGGAGTGTCTTTTACCGCAAAGCCTCTCATGCTATGTCTCCAGGTCAGCGGGAGGCCGGTCTTTTGGGGCACACAAGCGCCTTTCATTCTCTCAATGATAAAATGAGGTCCGAGGACCCGTAGCACTCTGGTTTACCAGGACAAAAGTGCGTGCCTGCTTGGCCACAGAAGGCACGTTACCTACTGCTTTTACTTGTCTTTCACTTTGCCAGTCTCAGCATGGGCATACAGTGGGGTGTTGTAGGAAGATGATACTTAAAGAAGAGAATAATCACTGGCCGCGCGGGTAGCCTCACGCCGTAATCCCAGCCTTTGGGGCCGAGTGGGCGGAGTCACCAAGAGATTGAGACGCATCCTGCTAACACCGGTGAACCCCGTGTCTTTTTTACTAAAAATTACAAAAATTAGCTTGCGCGAGGGTTGGCGGGTGGCCTGTAGTCGCCATCTACTCAGGAGCTGGCAGGAGAATGGCGGTAGAACCCGGGAGGTGGAGATTTCAGTGAGGCAGAGATCACGCCACGACTCCAGCCTGGGTGACAGAGCGAGACTCTGTCTAACAGCAAAGAAGAAGAGAACAATGGGATAGGGCAATTTTAGCCGGGCATGGTAGCATGGGCCTGGTCAGTCCCAGCTCTTGGGAAGTTGAGGCAGGAGGATGGTTGAGCCCAGGGAGTTCAAGGTTTTATTGAGCTATCGAGCATGCCACTGCGACGCCAGGCCTGGGGGTGACAAATCAAGACGCCCGACGCCTAAATGAAACAAAGTGAGAAAACAGGTAGTTTTAGTTATGCGCATGTTCGTTTTTAGGGTTATAAAAGAGCCATAGCATTAATCCCACAGCTAGGTTGTGAATAAGACGATTTTAAGTTCCACGAGAGCAGACACGTGTTTTGTAGTAGCACTCAGAAATATTCCTTTATGAAAATAGAGCTTGGCGCAGGCGTGGATGTTTCGCGCCGTGCGGCATCGCCGAGCACTTGTTTGGAGGCCGAGGGTGGGCAGATCACTTGAGGTCAGGAGTTCAAGACCAGCCTGGCCAACATGGTGAAAACCCCAGTCTGCTACTAAAAATAGCAAAAATTAGAGAGGGGGCGGTGGGGCAGGCCACCTGTAATTCCGAGCTACGTTTGGGGAGTGGAAGGTTGCAGGTGAGGGCCGTATTATGCACACTGCCCACTCCAGCCCTGGGTGACAGGAGTGTCTCGAAAAGAGGGACAGTACATGTCATTTCTGGTAAGACACAGAAGTTGTTTTTTTGTTTTTTTTTTTTTTTTTTTGAGACAGAGTTTCATTCTTGTTGCTCAGGCTGGAGTGCAATGGCACGATCTCGGCTCACTGCAACCTCTGCCTCCCTGGTTCAAACGATTCTCCCGCCTCAGCCTCCCAAGTAGCTGGGATTACAGGTATGCACCACCATTAGCCTGGCTAATTTTTGTGTTTTTAGCAGAGATGGGGTTTCTCCATGTTTGTCAGGCTGGCCTCAAACTCGTGGCCTCAGGTGATCTGCCTGCCTCGGCCTCCCAGAGTGCTGGGATTACAGGCGTGAGCCACCACACCCAGCTGACACAGAAGTCTTAATATGTGATTTTAATCTTTATTTCTCTGGCAAACTCAGCAATGCAGGCGGGGACCTTATAACTAAGACAGCTCTTGACTTTTGGCGGGCCGGAAGAAAGAGGGAAGACATTCAGCTGAAGGACCTGGAACCTGTACTGTCTGTTGGAGTCTTCAATAATAAACACAGTGAGTGCACCAGGGTAAAGGAGCCCCTTAACTGGCCGGCAGTGAGCCATCTGCTCTTGCATTGTTTCACAAAGCCACAGGATCCCACTGGACTTCTGGCTTTGCTAAAGTCTGGAATTTTCTTAGGTCTACTGTCCTTGAAACCAGTTAGTGCCCAGCTGAGTCCTACATGGGCTTGTGGCACACTGACAAGAGACTCTCTTAAGGGGCACGGACTTGAGGCACGTGCTGAGGGTTGGGATTGGAGCTTGGCCAGGTGGCGGTGGCGGTGGCGGCAGGAAACCCAGCTTTGTCTTGTTCTGCAGGTGGCCTGTGGCACAGTGGACTGATCGACAAAAACCTCATTGATTACTTTATCCCCTTCCTGCCTTTGGAGTACAGACATGTGAAAATGTGTGTGAGGGCCGAGATGAGGGCCCGTGGCTCTGCTATAGATGAAGACATTGTCACAAGAGTGGCAGAGGAAATGACGTTTTTCCCCAAAGACGAGAAAATCTACTCAGACAAGGGCTGCAAGACTGTGCAGTCGCGGCTTGATTTCCACTGAGCTCCTGTCTGGACGGGGTAGGAGGCAGCGGGGAGGCTCCGCACAGCAGAGGCCTTGCCTTTCAGAAGAACCCTGAAGACCGCTTTGGGGTTTTGCCTGTTTGCACCTTAGAGTTTGGGGATATAGAATCTTTTTTTTGAGACAGGGCCTCACTCTGTCATCCAAGCTGGAGTGCAGTGGTGCAATCCTCAACTCACTGCAACCCCCACTCCCAGTTTGAGGGATTCTCATGCCTCGGCCTCCCGAGTAGCTGGGATTACAAGCATGAGCCACTGTGCCCAGCTGGGATATAGAATCTAAGAGTTGATTTTGGAAAACACGTGAATCTATTGCGTACATTTGTCATTTTGCAAGATGACAGCCGTCCAGCTCTTCTTTGCAGCTGAAGATGAACTTTTAAAATCCCCTTCACACTTAATGTACTGACCGTGACAGAAGTGCCTGAAAACAGCTGTGCATGGCAGGCCTGGCAATGGTTTCTGACTCACAGCACCCGCACCTCAGAAGCTACTATCAGGACTAAAGGAGTCCAGGAACCTGCTGCAGGCTGAGGGGCACTGGGTTCCCACCGGCAGGCTGGGGAGCGCTGGGTTCTTGTTGGCCGAAAACATCCTTTTGCTCTGTTTCGTTCTTTTTTTGTTTTTGAGACGGAGTCTCGCTGTGTCGCCCAGGCTGGAGTGCAGTGGCGCGATCTCCACGCACTGCAAGCTCCGCCTCCCGGGTTCACGCCATTCTCCTGCCTCAGCCTCCTGAGTAGCTGGGACTGCAGGTATCCGCTACCACGCCTGGCTAATTTTTTGTATTTTTAGTAGAGATGGGGTTTCACCGCGTTAGCCAGGGTCATCTCAATCTCCTGACCTCGTGATCCGCCCGCCTCGGCTTCCCAGAGTGCTGGGATTACAGGCTTGAGCCACCGCGCCCGGCCTCTGTTTCGTTCTTTACACAGAGAGAGTTCACTGACTTGAAGTATATTCAGTTACAATCGGGGGTGGAGGTGCAGACGGTGTCTGACAGGAGGATGTGGCCGTGCCCGCTGAGCATTCTTGATCTGGGCTGACCTGTCTGTGTGTGGGATGGGGCCTTCACCTAACACCTCTGCAGCAGACCTGGACAGACAGGTCTCTCCCGGCTGTCCATTGTTCTGGCTGCTAATACAGCCCTGGCTGTGGAATCCTTCACCATCTCAGCTGGTATCGTCCCCAGCCTGCCTTGTGCCGCATCTGAGCTTGGCTCACTGCTCGAGTCCCTCCAACCATCTGTCGTCATAGAGTTGAGTCACAATGAGACCACTGGCTTTCAATGTGAGTCCTTGGTTTCCATGGTGAGATGCTTGTTAAGACTTTATACTTGGGTCCATCTCTCACTTTATTTTGTAGAACCATTTGAAATCCTAGGATGTGCTCATTCTGGACGGATGACATGGGCCCAGACTGAACAGTCAGCTTGCAGATCTTAAAGGACATTGCTCATTTTAAAACGAGGGAAGGACACAAAATGGAATGATTGTTTAGTCCTTTCTCAGATACTCTTAAAACAATTTTTTATTGTTAAATTTGTGGTAATACGTGGTCACAACTGTGGATCAAACAAGGTCAGTCTAAAGTCGTGGCAGGTCCTGGGTGTGACCTGATACCACCACCCTTTGTGGCAGCGCCAGGCTGGACTGCCCTGATCCCTGGGCCGTGAGACTTAGCTTCCAGCCAGTGTGAATCATTGTATCTGTCTCACAATCGCAGCACAGCTGCAGACACAATTACAACAATGTGCAGCATTTTTTACATAAAAATATGGTAGAATTTATGACATGGAAATGCCTTACAGGGTATCACACTTAGTCTTGAAAAAACCACCAAGGTGAGGTTTAAAATTTTTAGTACGTATCCTCAAATTGGAGCTAAGTTACACTTCTTTTATAAAATGTTGGGTTGAGAGGAGACAAGATTTTCTGTTTACAGTGATGGCAACAAATACCTATTTGCCACCTTTGGACTGCTATTACTGATTTGTAACTTGAAAAGGCCGTGGTTGATCATGACCCCGCCTCTTCCACCTCCCTTGTAAGATGTGGACAAGAGCTTTATTGACCTACTGAACATAAAATAATAAAGCCTAGATTTTATCATGTGAAATGCCACTTGCTAACTTTTTTTTTCTAATTTATTTGGTACCAAAGTTCAGAATGAATTTTAGCAGCACAGCTGGGAGACTCACTGTACCCTGGACAGGCGGGTGGGCAATCTGTGATACAGAAGCAGTATTTACCTTAAAAGCTCTTCCCCCAGATACATAGAAGTTAAATTAGCTGATGTATATTTCATCAAAGACTTCCAATAAAATACTTTCTCCCAAAATTAATGTGGGAGGAAACTGAGGTACTGGTAAAGACCTCTGACATCCTGAACCTGAGCTCAGGTGAGGAAACCTAACCCCTGAAACTGGTAAAACCTGGTAAATAAGAAATCCGAGGCCGGGCGTGGTGGCTCACACCCATAATTCTAGCACTTCGGGACGCTGAGGCGGGTGGATCACCTGAGGTTGGGAGTTTGAGACCAGCCTGCCCAACATGGAGAAACTCCATCTCTACTAAAAATACAAAATTAGCCGGGCGTGGTGGAGCATGCCTGTAATCCCAGCTACTTGGGAGGCTGAGGCAGGAGAATCGCTTGAACGTGGGAGGCGGAGGTTGCCGTAGGCCAAGATCGCACCATTGCACTCCAGCCTGGGCAACGAGTGAAACTGTCTCAAAAAAAAAAAAACAAAAAAAAAAAAACAAAAAACCCTAAATGCTGATCTGATCTTGGCTTAATTACATATAACCCGGTATTGTCTCGTCAGTGAATGGCTAACACCCACCCTCTTCACAGGATTGAGGATTAGCAGATTGACTAGAAAGCACAACCTCTCATCACCATCACCCCACCCCACTCCCTTAATTTCTCAACTGAAGGTACTCAATTCCCAGGAGACCAACTTTCTAGGTCTGGTTCTCAGTCTAACGCAGTTCCTGTTCTACCTACACGGCCTCATCTACAAAGACTGAACCTTCCAAAACTGTCAGGGGACCCGTGTTCCTTAACTTGGGACTTCTGGTGCCTGGGCCACACTCTTCAAATGAATGATTAGACCTCATCTGTCACTCCCAGGGACGTAACAGGCCGGCTGCAGCTAAATACCAAGAACTTTCTAATGCTTGGAGCCATCTTTAGGGCTTGGGTGCCCTAGTGGGACCCCATGCAGGCTGGGGAGCCATAAGGCAGAGGAGACTTGCATTAGACCTGCAGCTTAGGCCACCAACTCATCTTCTGTGCCTACTAGAAGTGGTTCCTGCAGTGCTCTCCGCAGCAGCAGCCGCACCCATGGGAGCACTGCCCACGTGCGGGGACACAGTGCTTACCTTAGTCTACAGTGCTGTTCCTGCTGGCATCTCAGCTGTACTTGAACTCCGTGGCTGGCTGTCAGGAGCTCCAGGAACCGCACAATGGAGGGCAACTTCCCAGACCACCGGGCGAGGGGACAGAGCCATCGTAAGATCCTCAGATCCCTGTGTGAGACTTTCTTTCCAACCTGGATTGTTCTGCTGGTCTTCACTCGCAGCCTCACCTCACAAGGCCTACAGTGGAGAGGCACTTCCCCCTCTTCAAAAACGTACTCACCAATGACACATGCAAAATTTTATTGTAAAACGGTAGCCATTTGCATAAGACACCGTTCTCAGCATCCTCAGAAGGGGCAGCTAAGCTTTATAGGAGGTTTCGGGGATTTGACTGAATGTAACAAAAAATAGTATAAATGAGGAAGACTTAATATGGCAAAATTCACATAATTTAGAATCCAGCAGAGCACATGTGGCTCATTCGGAATGGACAGTGAAGGGTCACCTTTTGCAAAATAGAGTGGCTGGCAAGTGACAAGCTGGAAACTTCTAACAAATGTTGACAGTGTTGCCAAAATCATTCCCACAGCTCCCTTTGTTGCTAAGGTTAAAACCCGTGGAGAGGCTGTTTCAGGCTTATCTGTGGTGCCTGAAGGCGTCCTCTTAACCTACTTGTCCTTCATCTAAACACTTCATTGCCCCTGACAGCGTCCGCTGGGACCATCCTGGGACAGAGCTGGCTCGTGCTCCAGCCACATCCCCAGCAATGCCCTCCTCTGGCACAAATGCCATGCACATGTGCTTGGGCTCATTTCCAGTAAAGATACATCACAGTATATGTTATAGTGACGGGAACTTAAAAAACACACACGCAAGGCCAACAACTTAGAATCTAAGCAGTCTCTCATAATGTTAAAAATCATTTTAAATAAAGTTACCACATTTTCAATAAAACTTATTCATCCTTCCTTGAAACAGAAACACTTGGAATTAAAACATAATTTGTAAAAAATCATGAGCCCTGCGATGAGTGGGCTGGCAGCTGGCTCCTTCCTTCTGTGTGGGCTGGGGAAGCTTCATGTCCTTGCCCATGGTCCCTCGGTGGCCTACAGGCACCAGGGGGTGGAAACAATGCCGGGGACAGAATTCCTGTCACATCAAACAGGAAACATTCACTCTGATTCCTCTTCCAGGGAAAGGAGCTGGGGGAGGAGGCGAGAAACGACTGAGTGTTGTTTCTTTTCCAACTCCAAGCAGAGACTCGGCTGCCAATCATGGCTGTCAATCATCGTAGTAATAATCTAACTTGGTGAACACCGTTTTGCAGCCTTTATCTGAGAAAACTCTCTCCTCTTTGGGGAAAAATGTCATCTCCTCAGCCACTCTGCTTACAATGTCTTCATTAGTTTCATAGCCTCGGGACTGCATTTCCACTCGGATACACATTTTTAGGTGTTTGTATTCCAGGGGGAGGAAGGGAACAAAATAATCAATGAGGTTCCTGTCAATTAAGCTGCTGTGCCAGAAGCCACCTGGGAAGAAGAAACAAGGTGCTGTTCATCCACATCCACCCACCCACCCTCTACACGCCTCCTGGGGGTCACTCACCCACCCTCCCATCTGTCCCCCACACACCTACTGGGGTCACCCGCCCTCCCCTCCATGACACAAACACCTACTGGGGTCACCCACCCTCCCATCCATTCCACATACACATACTTGGGGTCACCCACCCTCTCATCCATCCCACACACACCTACTGGGGGTCACCCAACCCTCCACATCACACACACCTACTGGGGTCACCCACCCTCCCATCCATCCCACACACACCTACTGGGGGTCCCCACCCTCCCACCCATCCCACATACACCTACTGGGGTCACCCACCCTCCCATCCATCCCACATACACCTACTGGGGTCACCCACCCTCCCACCCATCCCACACACACCTACTGTGTGTGCCCTCTCCTTTGTGGAGCTCCAGATCAGTGGGGAAGGCAGATGTTAACAGGCACCT